CAGTGCTGTAAAACAGTTTTCTCAGACTCACAGAGGGATTGCACGAATGTAAAGAAGGATGCCTGGAAAATGTGGCTGTGTAAAATTTTATGCTGCGTACTTACTTTGCCAAATAAATGCAGCTTCCCAACAAGGCACAGCACGCTCTGCTTCACATCAGCACTTAATGGAGAAATCACTTTGTGAGGCTGTAATGTGCCCGTGCATTTTTGTGGTTAACTGAATGCTTTCGTGCCTGTTCTTAGGCAACAGGAGCCTCTCCATACAGGACATGTTTGGGATTTTTTAATTCCTGGTGTGGTGACACGCAGGGAAGGCTGGCCAGGACTGAACCCCCTGCAGAAGCCAGAGGAGATGGATGAGTGCAGACATTTGGGAGCATTGGGCCAGAAGTGCCAGGGCAGGAATTCAAGTGATATGCTCATGATCACACAGGAGGGACATTTCCGTGCATGGTGAGGACTCTGCAGGTTACCCAGACATCTGAAAATCCCAAAGGTTGCAGTTAAGCCATCCTCACCTTAATGATGTTCACAGAAGGGGTGAGGGGTGGATTTGGCAGCTCAGATTTATCACGGTGCACCATGTGCAAGGGAGCTGGTCAGGAGACACAACTTGAAAAGCAGATGGATCCTGCTGGAAACAGTGCTCTGTGTTTGCTGCTTTAAAGTTCATCAGGCAAGAAACATCTTTTGCAGAAATAATCCTCAAAACCATGGTGAAAAACAGAGTCCTGAAGGGACCCATATCCTGAACTGTGGGATGATGTCCTGCCAGGGGGTTTATCCTAATAAACGAGTATTATCCCTCCTGCTCTTCCAGCCCTGTGCTGCTTGCCAGAGGGGGCACTTTTTAATGGACTAGGAGAAGTCAAAGGAAAATCCAGAAGGATAAGGCTAAAAGCGAATTCTTTGGTTTATACCATTTATAGTCCTATTAAATTCAGTATTTCTCTCAGACATTTGGGGGGCAAGAAGTTCAGTGTATTCGTACATCTTTCAAGATCCTGGCTTGATCATTTGACTCTGTCCAGCCAGCTTAACAAGCTAAATAATAAAAGGGAACAATGCAAAACTTGTTGAATTTTTTTTTTCACCCTGTGTCTTTTTTGAAGTAAAATACCTTTTTTTTTTCTCAGATGCCCAGCAGTTTGCTGCAGACTCCTGCAGCTTCTCTGCCCATCACTCAGTACCTGTTTCAGCTTATCAAATTGTTGTACTTCCTCCTTTCATAGAGAAGCAATTAAAAATGATGAGGGTAAAGGGTTAAACCTAAAAGCTTGCTAATGAGGGTGCCTTCTTGGTTTTCCTTTCATCAGGTATTAGATGTTGTTTTCAGCATAAGCTTTCGATAAGCTTCACTGAACATTTTTCCAGTGTAGCTTTTAAAAAGTTGGGGTTTTTTTTACCATCCTGTAAAAATGATAGATGTGTGACTCTGCTGCTTATCCAAAATCCTAATTACTGATGCTGCAGCTTTAGAATGTTAAATTCATGCAGTGTTCTTTAGGCTTCAGACTGGTCAAAGAAAGATTGATTTGTGTCCACAGAGAGTTTTAAGACTGGTAAACACAGCCAACCGTTGTTTATTTTTTTTTTTTTTGCATTATTTGAAAGTCAAGAGTTGCATCAACTGCAAATTACGTAGACTTAGAGATTTCTAAGGGAGAAAAAGGAGGAAAAAAAGCAAAAAGTTGTCTGCCATTGAATGAAATTTTAATTTCTGTCTCCACAAGAGCAAAGAGTATGGGTAAGAGGTAGAATTTGAAAATATGGATGAGACTTCCTTTCCTTGAGCTATGCTATTTATTATAGAACAATAGCTTGGTGGGTTTTTTTTTTTTTTCCTAAGCCTGTACACATATATTTGGGAAAAGTATTTTATATATAAATATATATAAATGAGGTTTATAGATTTTGTGGATCTTTCTGTGTGGGTATGTGTGTGTATATATATATATATATATATATATATATAAACCAGTGCAGCTCAGCAGTCTTGTAGCATCCCAAGGACTCATTTTCAAAGGGCAGCAAAGAGGATGATTTAGGATTTCTAATCACAGAATCATTTGGGTTAGAAAACACCTCAAAGATCATTGGGTCCAACTGTTCACCCAGCACTGCCAAACCCTGCACTGAGCTTTGCCCTTCCCTGTGATGGAGCTGGGAGCAGCTCAGCTCTCCTGCATATTTCCAGTGGGTTTTTTTTTTTTTTCCTAAGCCTGTACACATATATTTGGGAAAAGTATTTTATATATAAATATATATAAATGAGGTTTATAGATTTTGTGTGGGAGCAGCTCAGCTCTCCTGCATATTTCCAGTGTGTTTCCTGGGCTGTGTCTGAGCAGAGCCTGGAGCCAGAGCAGCTCCTGTGCCTGACAGAGCCAAGCAGGGTCATCCCTGTGGGGCTGGAATCTCCTGCAGAGCTGCCCAGGTGAGCCAGGGCTGTTGCTGCTGTGCAGAGTGACTGCAAACTCTGCAGTCTTTGTGTCCTTGAAGCCTTTCTTGCAGTTCCCAAAGGCTCTTAGGAGAGGAGCTGGCTGTGTTAATCCCTTGCTGAGCATTCACCTAGCTGTGCTACCTGAGAGGAGCAATGTGGGACAGAGAAGGTGCTTGTTTAAAAAAAAAAAAAAAAAAAAAAAATCAAGACTATTTCTCTCAGGATTTTCTCCGTCTCTAGTCAAGTTTGTTTTAAACTAATGGAAGTAATTAGCAAGTCACAGAGGGACTTTGTCTACGAGGTAGCCATTTTTAGATAATGGAGCATAAAAGTCGACACAGTGACATATGACACCAGAGCAGCATCTTGGAGCCACGAGCTGGGTCTTAAGCAGATGTTTAAGTACTTTGAATACTGAAATCACTACATACACATATAGAAGGCTTGGGTTCTTTTTTTCTCTCAGACTGCTGGTACACTGTAGGGCTTTCTTTTAATCTCAATAAAATCAAAGTAAGCTCTGAAATGTTTTTTAATGTGCAGTCATTATCACTCCTTTCTCTCTTCTTTAAATGTCTTTCAGTGAGTGGTATGTGGGTACTTGGGGAGTAGGGATGGAACTTGAGTTTTAGTGACCATTACACAGCAGAGGGGTGCAGCAATACAGCAGCTGATGTGCCAAGTTCCTTACAGTGACCATAGTGTTGAGCTGAAAATAGATAACATTTAGAAGTGAAGATGCACTTGATATATTCACACATATTTATTGTAGCTGTGAATGCAGGGGAGATGTGCAGAAATTCCAGAGAGATGAAGGCAATCTCCCAGCAGGGTGGTCCCAGAGGTCCAGGGAATCTTCCCTCACAGATCTCTGAGATTGTCCCAGATCTTCTAGCAAATCCTGTGTGTGCTCACGCTCATCCAGGCCTTTCAGGTAGTTTTTATGTACTAGATAACTTTATCCATCTTATTTTTTATAAATCAATGTGTGACATTCGCTGTTTGTGCCCAGCAGTTGCTGCGGCATTTGGTAACACTTCCCACCACACACATAAAAATGTACCAGTGTGGTCTAAATAAATACAGAGCACAGAAAGCCTTTGTAGATGTTCAGTTACGACACGATCACAACACCCCAGTTATTGAGGGGTGCAGTTTGGTGAAAGAGGGGAAGGATTTTCCCCTCCTCTACCACAGTCTGCTCCTCATTTCTCCGTCCTTTGATGTGCCTGGGGGCTTTGACAGCTGCATGAGTTGAGCCATTTCCTGGCTGCTTTTTTCTTTCACCTGTGCCGTGGATGGGTTTTTTAAAATTTAAATCCTAATTAGCCTTTGATTCAGCTCAGAGCAGGGCTGCAGAGCTGTGGCTGGTACAGGGAAAAGGGACAGCTGGGGTACAATTGTCCCACTCTCCCCCGGAGTGCCCTGCATCCCTTCTCCCACCAGTCTGGGTGGATCCATCTGACCCAGCCCTTCTTCTGCAGGAATTAAGTGTCTAGTGAGGCCCACCAGGGCTGGCCCAGCAGGTTGTCCTCATCTCGAGGCAGGCTGGAGCATCTCAGCATGAGAACCTGTCTAGCGATCCGAGCTAGTGCATCCACTCTCACTCACTTGAGATGTTTTTACGGGTACAATATGTTTCCCTTCACCACATGTGTGTTCCGCCCCGTGGATTACTAAAATGGCAGAAAGTGTTTGGTTTCCTGTGTTATTAGCTGCAGGTTCAATTTCTATCCGATTTGTCAATTCTGTCATATAATAGGGTTGAGGTTTTTTTCTGGTCTAATGTATGTGACATGTTTCATAATGCCAATAAAAATAGTTTTCAAACTAGACTGTGAAAGACTTTGACCAAAAAAAAGGCGAAAATAGAAATATCAGCGACTGGGGAGCTTTGATCTGACAAAGTAGGCTTTCAAATGACACGTTATGGTTTATGAAGCACAGTTTTACAGTTCCTTTTTGCAATAGCTGTAACGTGTGAGGGGTTGTCCAAGGTGGGAATGCAGCTCAGGGTGGGGGGTCCAGTTCCAGCAGCAGATGCGTGCTCCAGGATGGTTTCAACTTTTATTTCTGTGTTAAATTTTTTTTGTTGTTTTTATATTTCTGATAATGGAATTGTTATGGGCTTTTGAATTTCAGTTAAGAATGTGCAAATAGGCTATCTGGTAAGTAGGTTATTGAAGGGTTAGGGAAATGGAGAACATTTCCTGAAAAAAAATACCCACAGCGTGGGTAATAGACTCCAGTTGAATTTAAGAGATAATGGCGACAAGGGAGAAATCCACTTGTACAAATGGGGAACAGCTGTGTTTGAGATCTAATGAAACTGTATCAAATACTTTAAAAATGGCTTACAACTTCTTCCCTGGGGAACAGAGATAAAGCACAAGAGCACTCCTGAAAGGTCGAAGAAACAGTTAAATCATTTCCTTGATGGTTATTAGAGATACAGAAGACATCAGTGAAAATTAAATGTCTGAAACTTGTATTTGATTGCTTTCCTTATCACGCCAATCTCACACATTTCTCCCATCTCTTCCTCTCTGTTCTAGTAAAATTTAATAACTGTGCCGGTAACAAGGGCGTGCGGTACGAAACCAACAGCCTGGACTTCAAGGTGAGGGCGGACGGGACCCTGTACGCCGCCCACCACCTGCAGGTGCCCTCCAAGCAGCTGATCCTGGTGGTGACCGCCTGGGACCCCCAGACCCTGGGCAGGTGGGAGGCCATGGTCAGGTTTCTGGTGGCAGAGAAGTCCCAACACAACGGACACAAGGTAGGAGTTTTTTCAAAGCTCTTTTCCCTGCTTTGTTCTTCCTTTGCCCCAAAGTCTTTGTGTTGTCTGTTCTGTGCTTCATAAGGAAGTGTCCAAGTAGGAGACACCATGAGCAGCGTCAAATTCCTGGCAAATGATCCTTGAACCTCTCTGACAGAAATTATTTAAGGTCTCCTGCCAATGTGATATTTTATGAAAATCCTTTGCTAGGATTTTTCTCCTATTCTAGCTGCAAAGCCTCAGAAAAGAAATGTAAACAACAGCTATCTAATAGCTGTAGAATATAGTCTAGAAGTTGTTTACCAACAGGTACATCTTTGATTAATCCATGTGAGTTGTTTCTACTGAATGACCAACCATGGTCCAGCTGTGTCAATTCTCTGAGCAGTCACAGGTTTTTGTTATTCATCCCATTCCAGCTTCCCCCACCCACCCCAGCAGAGAAATCCAGAGCCAGCGTTCCAGTCAGAAAGGTAGAGATGTTTTCTTTCTGCTTTAGCTCCATACAGGCAGCTGAGAAGCAGGAGGGCTCTGTCCCTGCCCAGCAGTCAGTGCATTGTGCCTTCAGTGAAAATCTGCTGCACAGAGCCACTGCAGCTGGGGGCTGCTCCATGAAAACACATTGCTGCTCTGCCCCTGGAGTAGCTGTCGCTTTCCCACCTCTTCCATATCATCTTTGGCAGCAGCAGTTCACCTTCTCATTTTCACTGCTGGTTTGGGCTGAAGACCTTTTACTCCACGGAGTAAATACAGTTATCTTCTCTGGTGCTGGCTCAAACAATGCAACGCCGGGCTGGTTGGGTGGTGACATTTGGGCAGGATTTGGCAGGGAATTGTTTCAAGAGCCTGGTTTATTGCTGGATCTTGAGGACCAGCAGAGTAAGGATGAGGGTGTGTGTCCTGGGAGCAGCCATGGCTCCTCCAGGGACAGGTGGGGTCTCTTGGCCATGGCTGTAATTTGGATTAGTGCACCCCAGTAATTTTCCAAACAGCAAGACTGGCCTCTGCTGTCCTCCTGTCTGCAGTGCTTGGACAGAGAGTGCAGGGCAGGGTGGGGAAAGGAGGAGAGACTTTCTGTGTCAAGTTGTTAGAATTCTACCATGTAACATTTGGGACAAAAAGGAAAAACTTGGACAGACTTAAATCTCTCACTTGCCCAGTGGGCTGACCCCTAAGATTTTACAGGGCTTAGAGTCATATGAATACACTTCTGCTGCTGTTCAGTAGGGTTTGAGCTTGTGCAAGATGTAATTAAGCCCTGTTTGTTATTGTCAACTCTATTTGCCATTTCTAACCAAAGGAATACTGCTTCCTTCTAAAAGTAATTAAATATTGAAGGAACAAAGTAAGATGTTTTACATACTGCCTTAAATTTCTTCTCAGTGTAGCAGAAAAAAAAAACCTGAATAAGCACACATTTCTGTTTTAGTAGAATATTTGGTTGGAAATTCATCTAATGTTAATGTAATCTGAACTCTGGTTGAAAACAGAGAGCTAAGCTTCTTAAAATTCATATCCCTTCTTTCTAAAAGCCTTATTAGTGTGTAGTTTGAGGCTGGAAAAATACAGAAAACAAGACTAATGACAAGGTCATAAGCAGTTTTATTGTGGGTCCCTATAGCAGGCATCTGACTTGTGTTTTATTTAATGCCTGTGGTTTTTGCAAGCAAAATAATCCTTTGTTTACTAAAGAAATAAATATGATTATGAGATTATTTTAAAAAATAATAGTGTTTGTGCAGAAAAAAAGAACCCCAAACCTTACAATATCCAGTTCAATATGTTTCAGGCCATGACCCTTATATGTTTTATGGCTTTTTCTAGAGGCAGATCTCACATTTGGTTTTGTGTAGAATAATATGACTCAAGCAGAACTATACATATATATATTTTTTTAAGAAATTTCAGATTGTTTTGTTATACTCAGGATATAGAGACGGCAAATGTGGGAGAGAAAGGAGGAGGTGACTTGAGAGAGGGAGGGAGACCAGATTTCTTCTGGTGCATCCATTTATTTCCATTTTACTTTGTAAATTTGTGACTGATTTTGCAAAAATGCTGAACAGTTCCCAGGCATTATAAATAATTGGCATGAAATTCAGTTACTGCACCTGCTGGTCACTGTTTGTTGCCACCTACAGCACAAAAAAAAGTCCTTTTGCCTGGTCCTCCTCAGCTCCATGAGCAGTGACCTCAGTGAGGGCAGTCCCTCGTGACAGGGGCCTTGGTGCCCCTCAGAGCCCCCTCTGAAAGGATAAATCAGAATTCAGTTCATGATTATCCAGGGATTAAAACTGCATCAAAACCAGCCCTCCTAGAATGGCCATTGTTGTGGAGGTTATAATACAGAATAAATGTTATGGGAGAAATCAATGTTTTTGGGATACTGGCTGAGATTTTGTGGGACCAAGAGTGAGCCTGCCTGCACAGTGGGGACAGTGGGCTGCTTTCCAGGAGAGCACAGAGGGTTTATCCAGCAGTAAATGATCCTTTGGATCTGGGATCCTTTCTTGTCACAGTGTTTATGACTGAAAATCTGTGCAACAGGCTGCTTTGGTGCTGGCCAGGAGCTTCCAAATCATTTCTTCTTGGGCCAGTCCCCTCCTTGTGTGCTTTCAGTGCAAAATCAGAAGGTTTGGTGCCCATTGCTGTGCCCCAGATCCCCCAGCTGAGCCTTGCTCTTGATGCAGCCTCTCATTTTAACGGGGAGGGACCCAGCATAGTGACAATTCCCCCTCTTTCAGTGTTGGCCTTATAAACGTGCTGATTGCTTGAGATGACTGAATAACCTGTCAGTTTTCAGTGAAAAACACTATAAGGAAAGAGTTCTAACTGCTACATTAAAGTGTCATGCTAGTAGGGTGAAATGATAGAAAAGAAGGCAAATACTCTAAAAATGTACTTTATGATACACAAAGCATGCATTTCCCCTCCTCCCCAGCAAACACTTGAATGTAAACTTTTTTTTTCTGGTTAATACAAGTGATGTTAGTAACTCAAGCAACTTTTTTGTTCAGTCTTGCAGGAAACCTGATAGCAATTCAATTAGAAAATGCAAATGAGGTCACACATTTCCCACAAGAGCGCTGAATTACCCCAGAGGAAACTGAGTGATATTCCAGCATAACAATAAATACTTAAGATAAAGTTTCTTCTACCCTTCTTGTCTGGCTGCCTGTTGTTCCAATTGAAAGTATCAGTCGGGGCTGTGGGTGTAGTTTGGGAAGAAGGAAAAAGAAAAGAAAAAATAAAGGAGAAAAAAAAAAGAATAAAGGAGAAAAGGAAAAGAGAAAAGATGCTATTTTTATGAAATAATATAAAGTCTTTGTGGCTTGTGTCAGCATTTGTGAAAGATGAACTTGAGTGGGATAATGTTCCAGAAGAAAACAAAGTAAAGCCGAGCTTTACTTATCTGGAATTAGCAGTGTAATGTCTTCTTTTCTAAGAGTGCATGCTATTATTTTGAAAAATTGGATATCGATTCAACCAAAAGTCTAAAAATGAAGATTATGTTTGTGAACAGTGACATTGCTGAGGACTGCAGTCTTCAGAGTGTCCTGTTTCTTAGTTAGAGAAACTCAAATTTACCCATTTACGAGTAGAAATATTGTGGCATTTGTCCTTCACACCCTGCACCTGCCCTCTGTGTCCATCAGTCCAAGCTCCTCCTCATCGTTCCTTAAAAATCAACTTCCTCCACCCCCTGTGTTGGCTCATCCCAGCTGAAGTTCTGACCTTCTCCTTTATATTGATTGTTTTCTTTAATTTTCAGTCATTTCATGTGTCTAAGGCACATCTGGTAAATTTTCTTCTGTATTTATTTAGCTGTTTTTCTGTAGTTCTTACCTCACAAGCTAAAATCCAGATTGCAGAAGTACAGCATAGAAAGGAATTCACAGCAGAAGAGCTGAGAGGTACAGGATATATTCAGCACATGTAAGATGTCAGTCATCTGCCAGTGACTTAGTTTGGAAAAAAAATACACTGTTTTCTTTGAACTGTGTTTATGTCAACCAAAGTTTCTTGTTGTTTTAGCTTTTCAAATTCTGAGCATGGAAATATGTAAATTTTTATAATGTTAAATCATTATATGTGCAATTAAATTTAGAAATATATGAGGTCTGCATCTAGTGTTTAAAACATTGAAAACTGCTGTCAGAAATCAATTCTTGCTTAAGCCCAGCTTGTGTTTTATTATATCTCATGTTATTTTGGTGTGCTTTCATAACCCAGCTCTGAGTCCGCAGCCATACAATGTGAATGTGAAAAGCTGGTTCTTACAGACACAGGGCTTTTTTTTTTTTTTTATTTAAAGCCTTTAAATAATCATCTGTGGTATTTCACCTGGCTGAGGTTTTAAGTTCCAAGTACAGCCTTTTATTGCTGATCACAAGCACAAAGGTCTCTGGGCAAGGAAAGGCTTATTCAGCACTGCTCTCATTCATGACCTGGGTTATTGTGCAGCCAGGATGCTCTGCACGAGGCTGGGGAGCCCTCCCTTGAAGGAGGAAAATCAGAGTTTAAGTGGGAACTGTGCTTCCAGTGACTCCAGTCTCCCTGGCACTCTTGAGCAGGTGCACCTAGAGGAAATGAGACAAAATGTGTTCACTTTCTTTCTTCCATCTTTTCCCTGCACTGGGGTGAGATGTTATCTATGGCATCAGGGTGAGGGGAGTTTGCCTCATCAAACTTTTATCGCTAGAGGAGAGCTGAAAAAATGAGGTTTTAGTTGCCATCCTGCCTTTTTCTGACGATACTGGTGCATATTTTGAGTACTGGGTCATTGCAGTGGCACTGTCCTCTTTCACTACCTCTGTGGGGGATCCAAGGCAGCAACTAAATCCAGAAAAATGGCAGCTGGAATAATTTTTATTTCTGTGTCTCATCAGTAAAGCAAGACCTGGATTTATCTGTCAGGGAGGGTACATGCAGAGATTTCTGTTTCCTTCAGATAATTTGTGAGACATTTTTTGGGGTTTTAACAAATCAGATCAGTGGAA